CTTTACCTCTACTTGTGTTTATAAATAAAAGTAGTTGTTGCTAAAACTACACTGAGATAGAGTGGGAAAGAGAAATGTGGATCAATTAAGAATGGATGAAGATAAGACTGTAGTGATTAATGAAGAAATGGCAGACTTGTTAAATACTGATCAGATCACAGATTTGTAGAAAACGGAACTTGCACCTATTCACTGTTTCATTCAGAAATGTTACTGGTAAATGGTGTGTTCATATAACTGTGTTGGCAACAAGGCTATACAGCTATACATCAATTATCCACAGCAAGGTAGCAGCATTACAGGCTATAAACACTGTGGCTCAAGCAGCTTTCTTCATTGATACCATCCAATAATGTCATGCAGGTACTGGCCCCACAGCGTTGTCATTCCTGGTATCAAGCTGAGCCTGCGTAGGTACCACATGAACAAATTTCTCCCCAAAACCTATGTACCTAAATTTTCCTTCAAATATTCTTGCAACTATCTCTCCAAAGAAAATAAATATATCTGGTAAGCACTCAAAAATGTCAACATATGTCAACATATTACATCCCTTCTCAATGTTAAGCACTCTTGGGTCAGGCACCAAGTAAACACAGGGTCATGTTTTCTGTAACTTCACCAATGGCAAGTGATTACAGTTGCAGTCTTAGATCAGCAAGTCCCTTTTCCAATTCCCAGGCTCTGCTGGAGCACGAGTCACCCCGAGTGACTAGATGGGCAGGAATAAGAAACAGCCTCTGAACAATTGTGCTTAAGATGCATGTAAATGTACTTTAAAATTAAACTTAGAGAAGCACTCTCCCTTGTACAGCAGGTGCTCTTTCATTTTCAGCACAGCCACTTTCGTGGCCTTTGCAAGGCACACAGTTTTGGATTATAGGCCAACAACCACTTGTTATAGTTACCAAGCCGATTTCAGGTAGGATTGCTTCACCTGCAAAGGGGATTTTGTATCAGTTTGGATGGATTCCAGGCATAAGAATGTATCATGCTGACCCATAGTACCCTCTTGTCCTACTGATGAGTGCGTACTAAAGTTAAGCAATTATATTCGTTTGAAATATCTCAACGTAATTAGGATAAATGATTTTTCACCTTGCAATGTCCCTTGATACATCCCAAAAATAACTATAATTACAACAGGGTCTCTCAGGCATTAAACACTAAGCACCAATTTTGGTTTCTGAAGGAACATGAGCAATAAGAAATCAGTTGAACTATGTAAATTTACAGTACAAGAATAAAAGTAGAAACAGCAGTTTTTAAAAATACATTCATGGGATGTGGATGTTGCTGGTTGGATCAGTATTTATTGCCCATCCCTAGTTCCCCTTGAGAAAGTGGTGGTGAGCTACCTACTTGAACTGCAGTCCATTTGGTCTAGGTACACCCTAGGTACATGGTGCTGTTAAGGACAAGAGTTCCAGGATTTGACACTGTGGTACTAAGGAACAGGGATATATTTTCAGGTAAGGATGGTGAGTGGCTTGGAGGAAAATTTGCAAGTGGTGGTATTCTGCTGCCCTTGTTCTTCTGGATGGTAGTGGTAGCAGGTTTGAAGGGAGCTGTCTAAAGAGGGTTGGTGAATTTCTGCAGTACATCTTGGAGAGGTACACATTGCTGCTGCTGTGTGTCAATGGCAGAGGGACTGAAGTTTTGTGGAGGTGGCACTAAGCGAGTGGGCTGCTTTGTCCCAGATGGTGTCAAGCTTCTTACATGTTGTTGTAAGTACACTCATCCAGTTAACTGGGGATTCTATTATACTCCTGACATACGCCTTATTAATGGTGAACAGATTTTGGAGAGATAAGAGGTGAGTTAATCACACAGGATTCCTGCTTCTAATCTGTTCTTATAGCAGCAGTAGTTATATTGCCATTCTAGTTCCATTTCTGGTCAATGTAATGCCATCTTGTGTCAAGAGTTGGTGGCTAAATTTTCTCTTGTTGGAGATGGTCATTGCTAGACACTCGTGTAGAATGAACATTACTTGTGGTTTGTCAGCCTAAGCCTGGATATTGCCCCCGGTCTTGCTGCATTTGGATAAGTCTCCTCAGATAGTAAAGCTGTCTACAGATGGTGCTGAACTGTATGATCATCCAAACCTCTAACCAGATTATGGAAGGAAGGTCATTGATGATGTAGTTGATGTTGATTGAAACTAGGTCTTCTTTAAAGATTATCCATTGCCTGTGTACAGTCATGCCTTTTCATATTTTATCACTATTCAGTTCAGCCATTTGTGCCTCATGTTTTCATATTTTACCTAATTCAAATTAAACACCTTTGCTTCAAATTTAACTACATCACTGTTAAGCTTAATGTATTCTAAAATATTGCAGTCACTCAATCCTACATTAAACTCCTAAATCCAAATAGCCTGACCCCTAGTTGGCTCTTCAACATGCCGCTCTAGAAAGCTTTTCCTAAAACACCCCAAGGATACTGATCCTCTATAGTGTTGGTGCTCCACAGCTTCCCTAGTTTGTATGCACAAGAAATAGGAAATGAAGTAGCCCATTCAGCCCCTCGAACCAGCTCTGCCATTCAATAGGACCATGGCTGATCCAGCATTCCTAACATCCACTTTCCTGCCCTTTCCCATAATAATCCATGATTCAATTGCTGATCAACTATCTATTTCAGCCTTAGATATACAAAAGGACTCTGCCCCTGCAGCTCTCAGTGGCAAGGAGTTCCAAAGATTCGTCACCCTCAGAGAAGAAATTCCTCTTCATCTCAGTCTTATATTGACACCACTTTATCCTGAGACTATGCCCACTGGTCCTAGACTCTTCCATGAGGGGAAACATCATTTCAGCATTTACCTGTCAAGTCCCTTAAGAATCCTAAATGTTTCAATGAGATCACCTCTCATTCTTCTAAACTCCAAGTGAGTGGAGTCCTAACCTGTTTAACCTTTGGTCATAAGAAAATCCCTCCATACCTGGGATCATCCTTGTGAACTATATCTAAACTGCTTCCAACAAAATGATATCTTTCCTTAAGTGAGGAGACCAAACCTGCTCACAGATCTGGTCTCACTGGCACCTTGTACAGTTAGACTTCCTTACTCTTATACTTCAACCCCCTTGAAATAAGGGCTGACATTCCATCAGCCTTCCCCATTACCTGCTGCAACTGTGCCAGCTTTCTGTGTGTCATGCACAAGTACCACCTAGTCCCTTTGTGACGCAGTTTTCTGCCTTTTTTCTCAAATTAAATACTATTAAGTTCTTTAGTTCTCCTTTCCAAAACCTCTCAAAACCTCTCTATTTTAATGTAGATGCATGATTTAAGTCACCCATGATTATTGTGTGGCACACACTAGACGCTTCTCTTATTTACAGACCTATAACATATTCGACACTACCACTACCGTTTGACGTCTGATAAATAACTCCAACTGAAGTCTGCTGTCCCTTGCTGCTTTTTTTTAGGCCACACAAACAGATCTCGCACATTGTTCTTTTGACCTGAGATCCATGTTTGACCTAAGGCTGTAATGAGGTTTGAAAGTGAGTGGCCTTGGCGGAGCCCAAACCAAATGCAATTGAGCAGGTTATTGTTAAGCAGGTGCTGTCTGATACCTTCCATCACATTACAGATGATCAAGAGTAGACTGATGGAATAGTAATTGGCCATATTGGATTTGTTCCTGTATACGGAAAATTGTCAATGATTATCCTGTGTTGTTGGGTAGATGTCAGTGTTGTAGCTGCACTGGAACAGCTTAGCCAGGGGCAGGGCAAATTGTGATGCACAAGTCCTCAGTACTATTGTCAGAATGTTGTGTGGGCCCACAGCCTTTGCAGTATCCAGTGTGTTTAGCCATTTCATGTATCACATGGAGTGAACTGAATTAAAACTGTCACCTGAGATGCTGGGGACTTCCACTGGAGGTCACTTGGCACTCCTAGTTGAAGTTTGCAATAATCTCTCACACTCAAGATAAAAAGATCAAATTCATCTAAAATTAAAAATTGATTTTTATTTATATGGTACCTAGCAGAGCTTTGTAATTTTTCAACAACTTTAAAACCAATGAGGTACTTCTGAAGCACGTGTACCCACAAGGAATAATGTGATAATGACCAGATAATTTACTTCATGATGATGAGTGGGGGTGTTAATATGAGGAATGAATACATCTGTTTCTTCGACTTGATACCACTTGAGCAGGGAGATGGGTCTTGGGCATAACATCTATGAGACATAGCTGACAACTTTTGCCCATTGATAGTGCTGGGAACACTATCGCCTCCATGTTCCCCTTCAAGTCAAGCAACGTCTGACCTGGCCAAACCAGGTAGGAAGGGCAGGTTCCTTCTCTAAACGTCATTAGTGAACCATGTGGAATTTTCCGACAATCAGCAATTGAACTCAAATTCCACGGTCTGTTGTGGCAGGATTCGAACCCAGGTCCCCAGAATGTTATCTGGGTCATTGGATTAACTGTCCAGTGATAAGACCACTAGGCCATCGCCTCCAAATGTCATTGATTAAGAATCCTAGAACTCTCAATGGAACACCATTGTGGGAGCACCATGTGAGCTGTGGTGGCTCATGGAGATTTTTCATATTTTAGGATGTTTGGTTGGCATGGACGAGTTGGACTGAAGGGTCTGTTTCCATGCTATAGAACACTATGACTCTAATACCACCTCTCAACATAACCACAGATCTCAATAATTCCAGCCTTTCCGGGATTGCCTATATCCTAAGATCAAAAAGAAATCCAAAGGGGTACACGTTTGCACATACAGGCAGACAGCACAATAAATTAGGGCACTGAACTCCCTCAAAAATATTTGCCTACATTGAAAAGAAAAACTGGTTTCAATCTATGTTTCTTTACACAAAAATAGAATGTGGAATATTTTTCTAACAGCTTATGGAATAGAACAGATTTAACTCATTTCATAATCCAAATGAATGAAGTGCAACACAGGTGGTAACTGTGCATCTTGCAACATGCACAAGTGTAACGGACTCACCTGACAGTGTGGATGTGGGTTTGAACATCCCATCGTAGCACCTTTATTTTCAAAAATCTGAAATCAAAAAGAAAACGAGTTTTATGAAGGACAGTGACAACAATGTTGTAACTATTCTATTCAAATTATAACTGCAATGGGTGCAAACATTCACTCTTTTAATAAACCAGATCATAAAATATCTAATCATAAGAAATCTTTGGTGTTGCTCAATCCTCGTGGTTTCTGATGATTACTTATGTAGGCTAAATACCACAATAGTTTTTGCATCGCTGTATTGGTGAATATTTGTTGAAATCAAAGCATCACAACCAAACTGTTGAAAAATATATATTAAGAACCTGAATGGAAGAGAAATGCGCTTCATTTGTGCAATTAAATTTAACCACCAAGAAAGTGGCAACTTCTTTGCCCTTCCCTCACCAATATCTCTTCTTGGATGGTTGCACAGTGGTACTGTTACTGGACTAATAAACCAGACAGCAAAACTTAAACTCCAGAGAAATTAGTTCAAATCCATCAAATTTGGTATTTAAATGTGCAATTTAAAGTCAATAGATAAATTGGAATAAAATGCCATGATAACAATCAGTGATAATGAACAGCAACATTGATGCAAAAAAGTAGATCTGGTTCACTCACGAGGTCAGGATGGAAACCTCATCCCATCCTCATCTTGTCCTGCCATGTCCAGACTTTGCACCTCTCCACTGCTTCTATATCCTTTTGATCCAAACTTAATCACACTTTAAGAACTATGTGAAGCTAGCATAGAGAAAAGATTCACAGGAATTCATACCTCTCAGTAATAAGGAACTTCAGTTACATAGAAGGATGTATCGGAGATGTTGAGACTGCTTCCTTGAAGAGAGGGTAAGAGTTTTTTTTAAAAGCGACATTCAAAACCATGAGATGCCTGAACAGAGAAATGAGGACCAAACTGTTCCCACTTGGGGGAAGTATCAGAAACCAGGCAGAATTAAGGTATTGTCAAAAGAAGCAATTGCAACATCGGGGGAAACTATTTCATACAATGAGCGATTAGGATCTGAAATGCACAGCCTAAAAATGCCATGGACCCAAGTTCTATTGAGGCATTAAACAGGGAATTAGATTATTATTCAAAAAGGAAGAATGTACACAGCTATGGGAAGAATAGAGAGGGGATGGCACTCGGTGAATTGTTCGTGCTGCTGGAGCGACACAGTGGCTCAGTTGTTAGCACTGCTACCTCACAGGGCACAGGGCTAGGGATCCAGGTTCAATTCCACCCTCAGGCAACTGTGTGCACTTTGCATATTCTCTCCATGTTTGCATGAGTTTCCTCCCATTGTCCAAAGACGTGATTAGGTGGTTCTGAGGAAGGGTCACCGGACCCGAAACATTAACTCTGTTTTCTCCTCCACAGATGCTGCCAGACCTGCTGAGCTTTTCCAGCAACTTTGTTTTTGTTTGTGATGTGATTAGTGGATTGGCCACGCTAAATAGTGTCCAGGGATGTGTAGGTTGGGTGGATTAGCTGTGGGAAATGTAGGATTACAGGAATGGGGTAGATCTGGTTGGGATGCTGTTCGGAGGGTCGGTGTGGACTCAATGGGCCGAATGCTCTGCTTCCACATTATAGGAATCTTATGAAGGGTTGACTGGCTGCCGTCGGTGCTGTAACCTTGCTGTGATCCTGTGATAACATGGCAATGAGAACTGCACACATTATTTCAAATGCAGTCTAACCAAAGTTTGATAAAGATTTAGCTTTTATTCTACTTCTTTAGAAAAGGCCCAGTAATTAATCCAGATAAAGTACAGCTTTTGCATTATTCCTCTTCACTCTGTTACTGTCTCAAAAAGTATGAACATTCAATTGAGCATGACGTTCCCCTCTGAAATTTATACTGACTATTTGTTATTATATTGCTCATTTCTCGATGTTCTTCAATTCCCAGCTTTAGTCAGAATTCCATTATTTTTCCAACAACTGACGTCACTTTTGACATTGTCTCAGGGCCCGATTGCATCAGTTCATACATGGGTGAAGAGAGCTTCTTCTGATTATCACATACAACTCTCTGTCGGCTGATGAATCAGTACGTCTCCATGCTGAACACCACTTCTAAAAGTACTACAAGTACCAAGGACACAGAATGAATGTACTCTGGTGTAAGCTTCAATGGCCATCAGCAAGAACAACTCAATAACACCACAACTGCCTGAGTTGGCTAAGGGCAGAAGGATAAAGCTGCCAAGTGGACCTGCAGGTGACAGTCAGAGTCATGGAGTCATACAGCGTGGAAAGAGACCCTTCAGTCCAACTTATCCATGCTGACCAGATATCCCAAATTAATCTAGTCCCATTTGCCAGCATTTGGCCCATATCTTTCTAAACCCTTCTAATCAAATACCCATCCAGATGCCTTTTATATGTTGCAACTGTACCAGCCTCCACTACTTTCTCTGACAGCTCATTTCATACATGCGCCACACTCTGCATGAAATAGTTGCCCCTTAGGTGCCTTTTAAATCTTTCCCCTCTCACCTTAAACTATGCCCTCTAGGTTTTGATTCCCCTACCCTGGGAAACAGACCTTGGCTACTCACCCTATCCATACCCCTCATAAACTTCTACAATGTCATCCCTCAGCCTCCGCCACTCCAGGGAGAATATCCTCAGCCTATTCAGTCTCTCCCTGAAGCTCAAACCCTCCAACCCCAGCAACATCCTTGTAAATTATTTACGAACCCTATCAAACCCTATCCCTAAAGCAGGGAGATCAGAACTGAATGCATATTCCAAAAGTGGCTTGACTAATGTGCTGTACAGCTGCATCATGACATCTCAACTCCTATACTCAATGCACTGACCAATAAAGGCAAGACTACCAAGTGCCTTCTTCACCACTCTGTCTATCTGCAACCCAACCTTCAAAAGAACTATAAACCCACATCCCAAGATCTCTTTGTTCGGCAACACTCCCCAGGACCCTACCATTAAGTGTATAAGCCCTGCCCTGATTTGCCTTACCTAAAGACAACACCTCACATTTATCTAAATTAAATTCCATCTGCCATGCCTTGGCCCATCCGAGTAAGGTCCTGTTGTATTCCGAGATAACCTTCTTCACGGTCCACTACACCTCCAATTTAGTTTTCATCAGCAAGCTTACTAATGATTCTTCCTACATTCACATCAAATCATTTCTATAAAATGACAAAAAGCAGGAGGCCCAGCACCGATCCTTGTGGCACATAGCTGGTCACAGACCTCCAATCCAAAAAACAACCCTCTACCACCACTCATTGTCTCCTACCTTCATACCAATTTTGTATCCAAATGGCTAACTCTCCCTGGAATCCACGTGATCTAACCTTGCTAACCAATTTACCATGCGGAACTTTATTGAAGGCCTTGCTGAAGTCCGTACAGATAACATCCACTGGTCTGCCTTTATCAATTTTCTTTATTACTTCTTTAAAAAAAAACTCAATCAATTTAGTGAGACACGATTTCTCACATACAAAGCCATGTTGACTATCCCTAATCAGTCCTTTCCTTTCTAAATACATGTAAATGCTATCCCTCAGAATCTCCGCCAACAACCTACCTACCACTGATGTCAAGCTCACCAGTCTAGTCCCCTGGCTTTTCTTTACCACCTTTCTTAAATAGTGGCACCGCATCAGCCACCCTCCAGATGGTGAGAGTTGAAGGGCAAGTTAGGCCATGCTCCAAAACTGTAAACCTATGGGGTCAACAACCTATTGCAAACCCCTTTCAGTATGAAATAGCTGATTTTTCCTTTCAGAAGTTTGTAACTTTTTTGTTTTGTGTGGTTGTGTTATTTTCAATTATTTAAACTAACCTGACTGAAGATGCAAACTGATAATGAAGAATAGTACAACCAAATTATTGAAACAATTTCATTAGTTGATATTCTGAGACTTACTACCATGAAGTTATCTGGTTTACACCACTTTGCTGAATATTGCTCCTCATTCACATATATATACATATACATATTGATCTTAAGCAGCATTTTACAGCATTCCTTTCCTAATATATCATATTACGATTTTAGAGCACAGCCAATTTATATAGTAAATAATTTACCTATCCATACAATTTCCTTCAAGACTTCCTTGAAATATTTCTACATTTCTTATGCTTGAATGCCATTTAGAGAATGAAACAGGTCTGGCCCTTTTTACAGCCTGTTTGACACCAAGCTACATAATAAGAGCTTAAGGTAGGTGCCCAAAGACTTGGTCTATTAGGAAGGCTTTAAGGAGTTTCTTAAAAGGAGGAAGGGTAGAGAAGTTTCGGAATGGATTTCCAGAACCTCTTGAACAAGAATTCTGCCAGGTGAAAACAGCAAATGAAACAAAGATGGAGAAAGAAATTAAAATACATAGTTGTGGTTCTGGAATGCTAAGAATACAGAATGAAATTGGCATATCCACTTAAATAGTAAAATTAATGGCTTTCCGCCTCTAGTTACCTGCACCCATTGATATGTTGATCCTAGTTCTACCATCAGTTCCACCCATTTGTCAATCACAGCTCTGATTTCTGGAATGGACATCAATGGCAGGGTAATATCGGAATGAGGATGGAAGCACATGACCTTACTGAAACAGAATATGCAACCGAGTACAAGATACAAAGTTAGATGTGAAGAACTATATCACCCCTATAATCTTGAGCAAGGAATTAACACAAAGAAATATTATATTACAAGGTCTGAAACTGGCGTCTGTAGTATAAGGAAGGACTAATTTAGTTAATTAAAAGAGGAGTTAAACCTGTAGAAGTTAATATTCATGTTACAGCGATCTCACTACAGTCTGATGATGTCACGCAGTCCGCGGGTGGAAACAATTAAATCTACATCAGCTTTCATATGGAACAGATAAATTATGTACAACTCCCCAGAGTCCTGGTAATTAGGCCTGACTAGTATATAGTTGTACTTATTTCTCTCCTGTGAGATGAAGGCTCATAACATGAGATTCTTGTTTGAATACTGGAATTCTAAAGTGAACAGAAACATGTATAGCTTCAAGTTTGATTTGTACTTTGATACTGTAAGAGTTAAGAAAGGAGACAATATAGTTGTAAAAAAAAACCTGGACACTTCGTGCACTTAATGCTGAATCTTACAGTTTTTGGCTTTTTTCCATGAGACATCGCAAGATTTCTCATTGTGTCTTACCAGGTTTGCCTCATTTACTATCTACCCCAAATCAATGACATCCCTCTCAGAGTGAAGTACCGTCGTACCACTCGTGATTCCTGGAACTACTCACCATTTACTGGAAATGCCTAGCTAGTGTCATCTTTAAAAAGCTGTTGTGTATCTGGACAAGCACTGTCAGTCCAGTGTAGCCCTGTATGGTTCTTGGCATTTGCCCTGAACGTGGCAGACAAAGGGAAATTGGTGCCAGCCTGGTGCTATCCAGGTCAGTGCAATCTCAGCTACTTGGAGGAATGTACAACAATGCAGGAAGAAGGTCAAAGACTTCTCCACTCCACCAGCATAAATGTCACCATCTTGTCTTTGAGACTTCACACCCACTCTTATCTTTGCTACTTTACCCACCTCCCACCAAGGCTCATGCGCTAGCAGTCTCACTATTGCCTGAAACATTTTCCCTACTCAATCTCACCCACCCACTCATCCCAACACCCAATGTCACTGACCCTGCATACCCTCTGCAGCTACTCACTCATTGGGACACCTTCCCACCTGTACCATCAGTAATAACTGTCCCACTCACTTTCATCTCCTATAATAGCTGCCTATCTCTCATTTCAGTAAGAAAACAGCCCATAATAGGCTGAAAGTGTCATGACGGGTGGTCAGCTCCTGATGACTTATATGGAGAATATCCTGTCTTAGAGAGGCCTGAGTGGCTGACTGCCCATACCCAAGCAGCTGGTATCAGAGGTTGCCTTCGTCTTACTGTGCCAGAACCTTCTGAGCAAAGGCTATCTTCCTGACTTGACGGAGGCTTCTTCACAACTATGACAAAGCTTCCTGGCTTTGAGTCGGCATGAAAGAGCACAGCAAGATAGCTGGTATCTCTGGCTAAGAGAAAAAAGCACAAAAAGGCAAGGCAGGGGTGCTCTAAGTATCCAAGTGGTGAACATGCACCATGACAGAAAGTAAAGAGGCCTGAAATGCAGCCTAGGCCAGTCCATCAGCTGGTTGTGTATCCCTGAGCACACAGTGTCCCTGCAGCAACATTACAATGATAGTTTCTGGTGCAGTCAAGCTGAGCCTGCCCTGGGATGCTACTACTTGGTGTCCAACATTGAGGTCCTTTGGAGCGAACAGCAAGCTGAAGTCACCAGGAACCTGCTCTGATTTTCGACATCTAGCATGATCAGAGTGTTCAATAAGAAGCTATATATTTAAAGAGGTAATTACAGTGTTACTCAGGAATTTAACAAACTTTTATTATCCTTGACTGGCAACTCACTGTTACCTGGCAAGAGACTTGCCTCATTGTTTGGCAAAAGCATAAAAGATGCGGTGAGATGCTCCCGATGTTGCAATATGTCACGTTGGACTTCTCCTCTGATTCTACCACAAATTTCCCCAGAGCCCATGTCGTTCATTAGATTCTGTCAACAATTTTGGTTTCATTTTAGATTGCGTTCTGCAACTGTTATTGATTAGGATAAAGTTTGTTTGCATACATTTAACTGACCTTTTTTTAAAAACCATTTAAAATGAAAAAAATAGTTTCATGGTTTAAAAACAAGAATGTAAGAGGAAAAAAAATTGGTGCAGTTGCTCTATGACACAGAGAGACAGATGGGAACAAGTTTCCTTTTAGAAAGAGAGAACCATTCAGAAAGTCAGGTTTCTTTTAAGAGAGAAGGGTCATTCAAAAACAAAGGGCCTACAGGATCAGCAGCGCAATTTAACAACCTCCAAAACAATCAGAACAGAAGTAAAGTAGCTTTCAAGTTAATAACAGAAAAGCTCCAGAAGCAAAAGGCCCTAAGTGCCAGAGAAGATGATATCCTATAAGGCTTTTGAATGGACCAGTTTCAGGGAAACATGCTAAGGAGTAAGTGAGCAGTGTCAGTAGTTTGTTTAAGGGTCTCTGGAAAAGGCAGGAACTAAATAAATGTTCAGACACAAGTCACCATTTCTACATACGTTGTGACCCTACAGCAGCACAGAAACGCAGTGATGATGGAACAGAGGTTTACAATCAGGTTGGAATTTCCTAAGGAGTCCTTACCATTGACTCTGGACCCCACAGTGTCTTATGGCATTAGGTTAAACATGGGCAAGAAAATCTGCTGAAAACTCCACACCACCCTCCCTACAGGGATGAATCAGTACTCCTCTGTGTTGAATTAAAACCTGCAAACGGGAGTTTCACAACAAGGGAGTAGAGGCAGGAACAGGGCAGGTTGAGATACCAAGTGGAGAAGATAAAGATCACACTGAAGGATGCGTGCCTGTATAGGCACAAAAAAGGCATTCAAAATACTGGAGCAAATCACTAACTGTTTTTTATTTCCCAGAATACTTAATTATGGGAATAGTTGAATCATGGCAATGACATGTGTTGTAGGATACTACTTTCCAAATACCTCATGAGGAGCTTTCAACAAATAGATGGATATGTGTACAATTGAACTGCTCACTGCTTGAGCAAAGGGCACCTTAATCTAACAGTGAACAATCGATCCATTGATTTGTGATGCTTTCCTCAGTGGTAGAAGGAGGAATGAGCAGTGAATTTATTGTTTCAAGTTACAACATTCACATGTAATTGTGTGCAACCATTGTCTGTACTGCCACCATGCTTATCCACAACTGGACAGACACATTTCAACACTGATGTTGAGGATGGTTTGCATGCTATACCTACTGGTAAGGTCAACAACACCAACACAGTAGAGTGGTGGATACGCTCACAGAGTAACAAACTTACCACAACTGTGAGAATAACAATGGTACACTATGTCCCCCACTATATTGCTGAGCTAAGGAACCGTTATGTCCTTCTTGTCCTGTGAACCAAGTAGGCTAGATATACAACCTGTACATTCAGGGCAATATCAAAACATGGGAAATGATCCTAATCCATCCACGTATATATTTGAATTCAAAATCATCAGGTTCTTCTAGCTAGCGATTGTATCCATTTATACAAACACACCGCGTAACTGGTTATAGAAAAGAATCAACTGTTCCCATGTCTATACTCCTTTCGTGAAATAATGATACAATGTCTCCCTGTACCTAGATATGCGACATGAGTTGGTTCCATTGCAGCGCATTCAATTTCCATCATACAGTCAATTGTCATGTTAAATTCTCTTCTTCTATCTCACTTATCAGACATGGACATTCCCAAAGAGGCTACATCTATCTAAATTAGTACTTAAAATATTTCCTCATAGGAAGTGTGGATGATGTGTGTGTAGAAGCTCATGTGCATGAGGAAGCTGCTCCAATGGTTTCAAACCATGTTGCCAAGTGGGTGCATATAGTTGAAGCTGAAGAGCAAGCCAATTCTAGAGAAGTTCTCTCTACTACCTGGTAAGATAGTCATTTGGTAGTAAAAGGTAGACTCATTGTAGGCAAAGAGGATCATCGGGCAGCTCCCTCATTAGAGAGTGAGTCAGCTGGTGGTGATTTAACCTTAGGGTCACCACGTCTCAGGCAAGGAGCAAGTTCAGGAAGGTGGGGCATTCATACTGACATCAGCTGGCACGGGAATTGAACCCATGCACTTTGCATCGCAAAGCAGCCAAACAGTCAACTGAGCTAACCAACCCTTAAGCCTAGTTTAAAATTTGAACAAAGCTTGGGTGTTTACTGTCAATTAGCATTAGTAGGTCCATTCAACATGGCAATACCTCTACCAATCTGAATCCTCTAGCCGACCTATCTGTACTCCTCTCTCATACAGTATATATGTTGGCTTTCCTCCTGAATTGTTCTGATAAGTGCAAATGCTGAACTACCAAATAACTGAAGTCATAGTGTGGTGCACTTTCATGTAATGCAAGGTCTACGTACACAGGACCCTGTTCTCTGCAGATAGAAAGTGTTTTTCGGTTTCAACTTTACAAAATAAGTGATGGCTATTCATTTGTCAGGGTAATCACTGACCAAAATCAACCTGCCTGATATAAAACATAAATAAAGTTGGAGGGGCTCTTGTGGTACAGTCATAGTGTCTCTACCTCTGGATCAGGTGGCACCCATTCAAGCCCCGACAGCTTTTGAGTTGTGCAATAAAATTCCTGAACAGGTTGATTAGAAAATATCTGTAAACAAAGCCTGGCTATTAACTGTCAATTCACATTAATGTGTGTATTCACCATCGTGCTGCCTTGCCCAATAAAAGATCACATGGCAATCAATCAACACTCTTCTCTCATGCAGCATACATGTTAGTGACCCCCTGAACTGGTATTCTTGCAAAATGTCCTGATGACTACAAGATGAAAAGGCTTGACAAAAACATATACTTAATATGGCCGAAAGAAAAGATGAGTAGAACAAGTAAAAGTTGTCTGAGGAAATCAGATCTTAAAGGAAGGTGATGGGGTCAACTATGTGAAAGTATGCACCAGTTACATTAAGCGTTATTCATGACTTTAGTTAAGCCTGTTTCAAAACTATCAAAAGGGAAGCTGCATTGTAAAAAGGAAACAGGGAGTTGCCACAAACATTTGACAACACAATTAAGAACAAAGGGGAAAAGAGATGTCAAATTCAGGTTGAAAGAGAGTATTTTAAAGATGGAGCAACTATGGCATTTTGGAACATATAAACATACCAAGACTGACAGACAGAGAACAACATGTTGATCTATCAATCCTGTCCCACACCATGATGTCCGGACAGTTCTTCTTTCAACTGACCTCCCCTAACAATACCATGACTCACCCACCTGGTGTAAGGAAGGAGGAGGTATAATACCTGAGGTCAGTGAACCATTTATTATGAGCTGGTGAGAAGAAAGAAAGATTAGAGGAGGCATAAACTAAACAGGGAAGAAAACTGGACAAAGTACAAGCAAGATTTACAAGCATAATATCAAAGCAAAGAGAGTATAAAGTATCAAGACAAAGATGCTCTTTTCTCAAGACAAAAGTTGAGAGGTGACCTCACAGATGTTTTCAAAATTAGAGGCATTTGATAGGGTAGACATCAAAACATTCCTCCATTTTTTAATGGGCTTGTGGGAGTGGTAACCCAAGGGCTTCTCTAAGTGGTAATTCACCAAGACCTCTCCAACAGCACCTTCCAAATCCATGACTTCTAACAACAAGAAGAACAAGGGCAACAGATGCAGGAGAATACCACCACCGGCAAGTTTCCATCCAGGCCATGCATCATATCATCATTTCCTTCACAACCGCTGTACGAAAATCATGGAGCTCCCTTCCTATCTGCACCACGGGTGCCCTCCACTCCAATATCTACTGCATTTAAAAAGCCGCAACTCACCACCGTGTTCTCCAGGGAACTTAGGGATGGTCAATAAATGCTGGCCAAGTCAGAAGCATCCGCTTTCAAATGAACAAGTTAAAATAAAAAATCTGATCGTCATCAAAAAATACAATAAGGAATTCAGAAGAAATGTTCTCAAAGTGGTCAGAATACAGAACTTGCTACCATATCATGTGATCGATGGAAAGAACATAGATGCATTTAAGGGAAAACTAGATAAATATCCAAGACAGAAAAGAATAAAAGATATATTATTAGGATGAGATAAAATTAATACACTGGGTGAGAGATTGTAGGTAACTTAAACATTGGCAAATACCCTGTTGGGCCAAATGGGTTCTTTCAAGCCTCTAAGTTCTATTTAATGCTATGAGATGGGAAGGAATTAAGTCAGATCAAAACGGTCTTGCCTCAAACTAACAATTTGAAAATGTTATTCCTCATTACTGAGTAATTAAGGATGTTTTACAATTCAGTAATGGCAACTAGGTCTTGCTATGCCAAATTTATTACAGTCAAGTTGGTTGTCACCTTAATTGCAGAGGGATGTTTCTGGATATTTCACTGTCGTGCTCTTCCTTCAGTACGTGAATATATAATCACTTCCTTTAAAAGGAACTGAACCAACATTCACTATAAAAACACAAATTGTACATTGATATGAACATTACAGTTTTATATATTCACAACACTTCCACTATACACATCCTCACAGAATAGATATTTACCAAATTCCTCTAGCAGCTTTGGTCTGAAACAATGGGTGTTTACTGGGACCTAGGGATTTAAAAGAAAGAACATAAAAAGGGTAGAATCCAAGGAAAGTATTTTACTCAGTATGGTGTTTAAGAGTTCTTTTATTTCGTTATGATAAAAAAAGTATGCATATATTGTTTATTATTGATCCATTAAAATTTTTTTTTTCAAAAAATAAAGCCTTCACTGTAAGTGTATTGCCAGTGTAATTTAACTCAGGAGTGAAGGCAACTGCAGAATTAATTGATGAAAACGAAACATTCACAATAAAATGCATCATGTAGTGAAACATGCTCCTGACTTGCATGGATATAAAAGATCCCACTGGCTATTTCAAGGAAGAGCAAAGACATTTTTGCCAAAATTCGTTTCTAAACCAACACTGCTAAAACTCATCATCTCTTCCTTACCATAATGCTTTCAGACCTTGCTACATGCAACTTGATGCTATATTATCATAGTGACTATACTTCAAAAGACAGTTAAATTAGTTGTAAAACATATCTGGACAGCCTGAGATCTGGAAAGATGTGATATAAATGCAAGTTCTTCCTTTCTGTCTCAACCTCTTACTGCTCTCCTTTTCACCTTACCTCTTAAAGACATTCAACCAGAATCAGAGCTCTCAAGTAATTATACCATCAATCATTTTTAGGAAGGATGTTAGGCAATGAGAATCTGAGGTTTTAAAGGAGACTTTGATATAAGGAACTCAGGAAGCGTTTATATTTAAGACCTTTCTGAAGAAGCGTCTAGGCCCGAAACGTCAGCCTTCCTGCTCCTCTGATGCTACTTGGCCTGCTGTGTTCATCCAGCTCTACACCTTGTTATCTTAGATTTAAGACCTAATGTAGTGTAGGAGCTAGAACAGTACAGCACAGGAACAGGTCCTACGGCCCACCATGTCTGTGTGAACCATGATGCCATTCTAAACTAATCACATCTACCTGTACACGGTCCATATCTCCCTACTCCCTGCCTGTTCATTTGCCGGTCTTAACACCTATTAAACTTTGCTAGAGTGTCTGCTTTTACCACCTCCCCAGCAGCGTGTTTCAGGCACCTATAATCCTATGTGCAGAAAAGTTTCTTCGCACAACTCCTTTAAACTTTCCTCTCTCATCTTAAAGCTATGCTCCCATGTACTTGACATTTCCACCCGAGGAAAAAGACTCTGACTATCCACCCTATCCACGCCCCTCAATTTTATATTCTTCTCAGGTCACCCCTCAGTCTCCAACGATAACAATCCAAGTTTATTGTCCTTATAGCTAATATAATCTAATTCAAGCAATATCCCGGTAAACCTATTTTGCACCCCCTCCAAAGCTTCCACATCCTTCCTAAAGTGTGGCAATCAGAACTGCACGCTTACTCCAAACCTGGCCTTACTAAAGTCTTGTACAGGGGCAACATGACTTACCAAATTTTATATTCATTGCCTGACTGATGAAGGTAATCATGTTATCTTTACCACCTTATCCACTTGGATTGCCATTTTCAGGGAGATATGAACTTAAACGCCCAGATCCCTCTATATATCAATACTCCTAACAGTCCAGCCATTTACTATATACTTTCTTTTTGTATTTGACCCCACAAAGTGCATCACCTCACACTTGTCCAGATTAAACTCAAATTGCCATTTCACCGCCCAACTTTCCAAATGATCTATTTCCTGCTGCATCTTTTGATAACATTTCTCACCATCCACAACTCCAGCAATTGTGTGTCATCTGCAAACTTATAATCTGATGACCTACATTTTCATCCAAATTATTTATATATATTACAAACAACAGAGGTCCCAGCATTAACCATTGCGCAACACCACAAGTCATAGACCTCCAGTCAGAAAAACACCCCTCCACAACCATCCTCTGTCTTCTATGACCAAACCAATTTTGTATTCAACGTGCCAACTCACCATGGATCCCATGCAACTTAATCTTCTGGATCAGCCTATCATGACGGGCCTTGTCTAATGCTTTAGTAAAGTCCATGTAGATAACATCCACTGCCCTACCTTCAATCACCTTCATCATTTCCTCAAAAGAAGGAATGGAGTTTGAGAGAGAAGACCTCCCCTGCATAAAACTATAATTACTATCTCTAATAAGTCCATTTTTCTCCAAATGGGAGTAAATCCTAAGAATCTTCTCCAATAATTTTCCTACCATTGATAAGATTCACCAGTCTATAATGGAAGAAAGAATTGAAGGCTTGACTCAATTCTTCCTGTAACTTTGAAACTGGATATTGAGTAGTATTACCCATCAGGACTGGTACATCAGGGAACTGCTGCAAAAAGCCTGACATCTGGGGCTGAATAAAGTGGCCGAGATTAGGAATAGGAACGGTACCAAAACTTGGGTTCCTCAGCTGCACATATGAAATGCCTGGTCTCAGGTGAGCATTGTATTCCTCAGCCAGCACTGGGATGAACATGAACACCATGGTTCAGTCTGATACCGAGAAATCAAACTTCCTGATTATTGTTGGAAATAAGTTGTGATCTTCGTAATAACATTACGAATTTGTAATTGTGTGAGAAAAAACCCGCAGCTGACAAAGAGAAATTCCTGACACAATTATAAAATAATTTAATTCAATTTAATAATAATAATAACTGCAGAAAGATTTTTGAAAACATGATTTATATTAGTAGGTGAGAAGTGTTGTTCCAGATTAACTGGTCAACAAGAAGCTTGAAGTACCTGGGTCTGGAGCATCTGGTTGCAGACTTGGAAAGTCATTATCAAACACATAAGTACTTTCATACTCTGGGTTCACCTGTAAAACGTGAAATAAAACAAGGGAATATTTTCTGACAAAACTATGACAAGAACCATTCAAATGGTCAACTTTATTATAAACTCTTCTTTTAGGAGATCAAATAGAAAAAAAATAAGCAATGTGATCTAAAGGACCAATGACACCAAGCATCACAAAATGTCTACCTATATGATCAAGAATGGTAGCAGTTACTGGAATTGCAATAATTTTCATTTCTGAGTTCTGAGGAAGGGTCACTGGACCCAAACTGCTAACTCTGATTTCTCTCCACAGATAGAGTCACAGAGATGTACAGCACAGAAACAGACCCTTCAGTCCAACTTGTCCATGCCAACCAGATATCCTTGATAAATCTAGTTCCATTTACCAGCAATTGTCTCATATCCCTCTAAACTCTTCCTATTCATATACCCATCACAATGCCTTTGAAACGTTGTAATTGTACCAGCCTCTATCACTTCCTCTAGCAGCTCATTCCATACACACACCAGCCTCTGCGTGAAAAAGTTGCCCCTTAGATCCCTATTAAATCTTTCCCCTCTCCCCTTAAACCCATGTCCTCTACTTTTGGACTCTGCTCCCTGGGAAAAAGACCTTGGCTATTCACCCTATCTATGCCCCTCATGATTTTATAAACCTCTACAAGGTCACCCCTCAGCCTTCAACGCTCCAGGGAAAATAGCCCCAGTCTATTCAGTCTCTCCTTATAGCTGAAACCCTGCAACTCTGGCAACATCCTTATAAATCATTTCTGAACCTTTTCACATTTCACAGCATCCTTCATGTAGCAGGGAGACCAGAACTGAACATAGTATTCCAAAAGAGGCCTAACCAATGTCCTGTACAGCCACAACATGACCACCCAACTCCTAGACTCAATGCACTGACCAATAAAGGGAAGTGTACCAAACACCTTCTTCATCATCCTTTCTACCTGCGACTCCACTTTCGAGGAACTATGAACCTGCACTCCAAAGTCTCTTTGTTCAGCAATATTCCTAAGGACCTTATCATTAAGTGTATAGGTCCTGCCCTGATTTGCCTTTCCAAAATGTAGCACCTCACATTTATCTAAATTAAACTCCATCTGCCACGCCTCGGCCCATTTGCCCATCTGATCAAGATCCCGTTGTACTCTGAGGTAACCTTCTTCACTGTCCACTACGTCACCAAGTTTGATGTCATCTGCAAACTTACTAACCATACCTCCTATGTTCACATTCAAATCATTTATATAAAGATGACAAAAAGCAGTGGACGCAGCATCAATGCTTGTGGCATACCGTTAGTCACAGGCCTCCAGTCTGAAAAGCAACTCTTCACCACCACCCTCTGTCTGCTACCTTCGAGCCAGTTCTGTTCCCAAATGACTAGTTGTCCCTCTATTCCATGTGCTCTAACCTTGCTGTCCAGTCTACCAAAAGGAACCTTGTCAAACGCCTTACTGAAGTCCATATAGATCATGTCCACTGCTCTGCCCTCATCATTCCTCTTTGTTACTTCTTCAAAAAACTCAATTAAGTCAGTGAGACATGATTTCCCACGCACAGTCATGTTGACTATCACTAATCAGTCCTTGCTTTTCCAAATACATGCAAATCCTGTCCCTCACAATTCCCTTCAACCACTTGAGGCTGCCAGACCTGCTGAGCTTATCCAACAATTTATTTTTGGTTTCTGATTTCCAACATCCACAGTTCTTTTGGTTTTTAATTTTCATCTCTGAATCAGATTTGAACCTTTGAAAAAAGTAGTTTGCAAAACCATACAAATTTATTAACCCAATCATTGTAATGTGTACTTTCTATTATTTTGTTCAATTGATAGAAATGCCCAGCATCCTCCTTCTGCCAATTTTCTTATTCTTAATTTGTATCTCAATGGAGAGCAATTTTAACTCAATCGAAACCCATTTATCTGGACAGATTATGATCTGAGCCAATATCTTCGTTGAAAGGATACCATGAAGCAGTTTTTTCAATAGGCTTCGACTAAAGCAGAAAACAGAAACACCATTTTTCAGCACCAGCAATAATAGCCCTGTTGACTATAATCCAAAGTGCTGAACAGTAGATGTAGAGCAGCAGGGCACATTAGGATAATTCAACGTTATGAGTACCTCAACATGGTAGATATTAAAAATACGTCAACTACCAGGGTTTGGTTGAACTAAAATAAAAGAAAGATGCTGGAGATCAGAAACAAAACCAAAAATTGCTGGCAAGTCTCAGCACGTCTGGCAGTGTCTGTGGGCAGAAAGGAGATTTAAAGTTTCCAATCCAATGAAGATTAAATGCTGACAAACAGTCACTGGACTCAAGTTGTTAACTCTGTTGCCAGACACTGCCAGACTTGCTGAGTTTCACCAGCAATTTGTTTTTGTTTTTGTTAAATTAAGTTTGTTAACTATGAACACTGATTTCAATATTGTACACTTGTCGTGAAATTCAATCCAAATATTACCTCGCCATTAGCCCTTGTTGCTCCAGGACAAAGAGGGTTACTTGGATCATGACGTGCAATGTTCACCTCTGTTGGTTTCTCAACCTGTCCTTTCCAAGGACGTTTCATCCGGTGAGCAGAGACCAGGATCCACTCATCACGGAGAGGGTTATAACGGATATGCTGGTGTTCTAGTTTTAGATATAAATCGAAAACAAATGGTGAGATTTAACTCATTTATACCTTTCTCCTTACTGACTATTCATTATTGCAAGATCAGTGCTTCTTTAGTTTGCCAATAATTTTATTTTTAATATCAGCTCTATTTTTACAATTTCACTAGTAGCCATTCTGGAAAATTTAATCTGGGTTGTATTATTACATTCCCCAAATTAAAGTTTAAGAAAATATTACCAGCGAACTAGCCTGCTGTGTTCATCCAGCCCTGCACCTTGTTGTCTCTAGTTATTACACTGGCAGGTTTCACAAGATCAACACTGGGAGGGATGACTCGGCTAAAAAGAGGTTACTATGATTACAACCCAGTGAATCTGTTGGGTGGGAATGTCACTGGCAAAGTAGGATGAGCCAATTACCATTGCTGCTCATAAAATGGCAGTAAAAAAAAACACAATGGACCTTCTGAAGGAGAGGCAAATAAAGAGAACACATGGGCTTATGCAAGAGGAGGGAAAGACTAGAAAAATTTGGGGGGGGTAAAGATCCCAAAAAGGGAGAAGAGAAAGGAGACGAGACGAGCAAAAGTGCATTGAGTATAGGAGTTGGGAGATCAAGTTGCGGCTCTACAGGACATCGGTTAGGCCACTATTGGAATACTGCATGCAATTCTGGTCACCCTGCTATAGGAAGGATGTTATGAAACCTGGAAGCGTTCAGAAAATAATTACAAGGATGTTGCCAGGGTTGGAAGGTTTAAGCTAATAGGTGAGGCCGAATAAACTGGAGCTATTTTCCCCGGAGAGTCGGAGGCTGAGTGGAGAACTTATAAAGGTTTATAAAATCATGAGGGGCATGGATTGGGTAAATAGACAAAGTCTTTTCCCTGGAGTGAGGGAGTCAAAAACTAGAGGGCACAGATTAAAAGTGAGAGAAAAGATTTAAAAGGGATGTAAGGGAGATCTTTTTCACGCAGAGGTGGTGCACGTGGAATGAGCTACCACAGGAAGTGAGGAGGCTGGTACAATTACAACATTTAAAAGGCATCTGGATGGGTATATGAATAGGAAGGGTTTAAGAGGGATATGTGCCAAATGCTAGCAAGTGGGACGAGTTGGACCGAAGGGTCTGTTTCCATGCTGTATATCTCTATGACTCTAAGAAAAGCTAAGGAAGGGTTAAGAGAAAAAGAGGTAACAGAAGTAATGGACTCAGGCTGGAGTGACAGCCAAAACACACATCGAGTAGATGCAGGGAAACTCCAGTAGAACAGGCTTGATTGCACATTATGTCCTGGTCTGTAAGTGAATGAAAGGAGACACTTGGAAAAAAGTCCAAGAGTGAAAGTCAGAGGTTCCATGATGGGGTGAAGTTGACAATATTTGGGTTTAGGAGATAGTAGGAACTGCAGATGCTGGAGAATTTGAGATAACAAGGTGTAGAGCTTTATGAACACAGCAGGCCAAGCAGCATCAGAGGAGCAGGAAGGCTGACGTTTCGGGCCTAGACCCTTCTTCAGAAAATGAAGAAGGGTCTAGGCCCAAAACATCAGCCTTCCTGCTCCTCTGATGCTGCTTGGCCTGCTGTGTTCATCCAGCTCTACACCTTGTTATCTCTAATATTTGGGTTTAGTCAGCTTAGAATATCGATACAAAACAGAATTTTTTTTATTCTTTCACGGGATGTTGGTGTCGCTGGCTAGGCTTGCATTTATTGCCCAACCCTAATTGCCCTTAATGTTAGGAGGGAGTTATAGAATTTGACCCAGCCATAGTGAAGGAAAAGTGATATACTTGCAAGTTATGATGGTGTGAGGTTTGGACTGGAAGGGAACCTGTAGGTTGTGCGAACACAAACAGATCAGCAACGATCTTACTGAATGGCACAGCAGGCTTGAAGGACCAAATGGTGTACTTCTATTCATACATTTGTCTGTTGTGCCATGCATCTGTTGTCCCTTTCCTTCTAGGTGGTAAAGGTTGCTGGTTTGGAAAACACTATCTAAGCAGCACACTGTTCCCACTGTATGTTGTGGTGGAGGTAGTGAATGTTGAATGTGGTGGATGGTTTGTCAATCAAGATTGCTTTGTCCTGAATGGTGTCAAGCTTCTTGAGTTTTATTGGAGCTGCACTCATCCAGGCAAGTGGGGAGTATTTCATCATATTCTGACTAGTACACAAGCATTGAGCAAATGAGAGAGGAGTTACTCGCTGAAGGATTCCTCGCCTCTGACCTGCCTTTATAGAAACCGTTTTTACGTGACTCATACAGTTCAGATTTTGGTCAATGGTCAACTGGAACAGGTTGATAGTGGGGGATCGATATCCACGTTCAGACAAGAGTATAAAAGTATCTTTCTGGTGGTATTTTCATAGAAATAAGGCAGCAAGTGATGTACAGAATTGAAGATGAAGGAGAATTACGATGGCAGGGTTGGAATTTACTACAAAATCCAGGAAAACTAACAGAGAAATTAAGTTTGTTTCAGGGGAATAGAATAGACCCGGTGATATGTCAAATAAAGATGAAAAACTAGAGGGATATACATAAAGGCAAAGTTACCCCTAGTCATACTGAATTTATGTATGAGAAGTAAATTAAAAAGTAAAGTATATGGCATATCACATTTCAAATCTCTTAACAGACTGATGCAAATGAACTGGGATATAGTGGAGGGGGCACATGGCACTGAAGATAGGACAGGTATAGATTCTTGGCATTCCTAAGCTCCATTGTGTTACACAGTCACATACCAAGCACTTGATAAATGTTTCTTCCAGCACATTCATTACTAATATGAGTGAAACAGTGGAAGTGTTAGATGTTAAATATTGACGTTTTTTTGTCCATGACACTCCATGTTACAAACTTCAGCTTTTTTGGCTTTTTTTCCCTGTTTAGCATTCTTTAATAACTACTAGACTAGGATAGGGAGGGAGGGGGAATATAGAAAACATGTCATTGCTAACTCCTAGAATTTAAGCAAAGGAAAAACACCTCATCTACTGACAAAGCTAATTCAAAGCTCAATTAAATACTTATACTGGGGTCATACAAATGTATATGTGAGATGGTTAATCAACTTGGTTAACTTACATCTAACTGCAAAGTTTTTATGCATGTACAGTTGTGATATTCAGTTCTATAGAATATTTATATAGGTTAGGTGGCTATTAATAGTATCCATAAACTAATAATAGAATAAATAAATGCATTAGATTAATAAATAAATACATAGATCATTCAATGACACATAGCAAGGTCACAACCACATATGAATCATTCTTGCCGAATTTAACAACGCTTAAAAAGTATTAGGTCTTGCCTTCAGAAATCAAGACAGAATACAAATTGCTGTCAAAATAATAGCAAAGCTAATGGTGCTCATTGTTATTTATGCTCAAATGCCAGAGTTCAAGTGACGACAGAAGTCTGATTAAACAGAGAAATTCTAAATCTGCTATCCAACACACGGTAAACAAAGCAAATAAAGCATCTACCTGACTATTGAAAAGCATTAACGTTCACAGAAGATAAACTCGCCGTAGAAAATTCAATCATGTCTATTTCAGCCTACATACCATTTCAGTGATGTGATACTGCAAAATAAAGTTTCCACCGCTGAAAATTAACTTAAAAATGCGGGGTCTAATTCTCTCAGGTTTCGAATACATCTTTTTCCATTTATCTCTCCTTCCCAGGCCCTTTTTCTCTGGTTTCCTGGTTTCTCTTTCTGATCCTAATGTGAGATCGAGTTCACCCATTCTAAATTGATACTCTTTTCAATCCCTTCACATTTTTTTAAACTTAATAATTATTCAAACTGATTAAGGAGATACTTTCTTCATCCGGGTCCCAGACTGCCAGCTTCCAGAAACTTGCCACAAACAAAATATTAAAAACCTGAGCATGTCCGGAGTAAGCATATGCAGTTTGCACCAGCTACATGTGATCCAGGAAACAAAAGTTCCAATAAGTGTATTGAACAGAATTCAGCACACGCAAAGCAACCAAACCCTTCCCCACAGAAAGATCACAGTAGAAATAATGTCCTTCTGTAACATCAGCAAAGACAACTTTAGTTTTCAGGTAAAATTAGTAATTTTTTTAGTGCAAATTACCATTGGGTTCGAAAGTCTGCTGGCTGGTGAGCTGAGGTTCCATCCTGAATCTTAGGCTCCCAACCACTGACCCCTCCCCTGCAGATTATCTGGAGATCAGTTCCCTGGGGATCATAATCGTCTCATATCTCAAATGTCTGTTGCATTGCAAACAATAGTGACGATTGCCTACAAAACTATGCAAAGGAACCCGTCTGCAGCGTTGTAATTATAAACGATTTTTTAAAAACTCACACTCCGGGATAATTTATTTCCCTTCAATCTAATAATCAGGCCAACCATAACCAAACCCTATAACATACATAGATAGTAGGAACTGCAGATGCTGGAGAATCTGAGATAACAAGGTGTAGAGCTGGATGAACACAGCAGACCAAGCAGCATCAGAGGAGCAGGAAAGCTGACGTTTTGGGTCTGGACCCTTTTTCAGAAGTTTCTATACATGTCCTTCAACACAACACTCGAACACCCATTAAAGTCATAGTCATAGAACTCGAATGCCTATTATTCACGTGTAAGTCCAGTTGCTTAGTACTGGTAGATTATTCTACACGAAAACATCACTTCTAAGCCTGAAGTTAACGTTGACACAGGGTTTGCACTGGCCAGGTGGGTGAAAGCACAAAATGGCTACAATGAAGTTGATATTGTTTCCCTCCCCATCCTAGGAGGAAACAAATTGTATCACTACATCATGCTAAAGAAGTTATAAAGAAAAAATGCATTTCATTTATTCTCTAAAGCCACGAGGATCCTCAAAGTATTTTAATCAATTAAACGTTTTTGAAATGTTGTTACTGTTGCAATGTAAGAAACATTCTAACATGTAGCCAAACATGCCTTGACTGGCCTTGATCTGTGATTAATAAATGGTAAAGAATCAGAGACATTATTAGAAAATTGAGTTTACTTTGTCCTCTCAAAGCTTTATATATATCTCGCAGAATATGTATATGGAGAAATTAATTGTTAAAACAGTTTGCATATTAATTGGTAACATCCAGTCGTGTATGGCAGTGGACAATTAAACATCACAGGAGGAGGGGGGCAGCACAGTAGCCTAGTGGTTAGCGCTGCTACCTCACAGCGCCAGGAACCCATGTTTGATTCTACCCTTGGGCAACTATCTTCTTGGAATTTTCACATTCTCCCCTTGTTTGCGTGGGCTTCCTCAGGGTGCTCCAGTTTCCTCCCACAGTCCAATGACATGCAGGTTGGGTGGTTTAACCATGCCAAATTGCCAATAACATCCAGGGATGTATAGGATAGGTGGATATGCAGAGTTACATGGATAGGATAGGAGAGTGGGGCTGGGTGGGTCTTCGGAGGGTTAGTGTAGATTTGATGGGATGAATGACCTGCTTCCACATTGTGGGGATTCTGTGATTCTCCACAAGTATCTCCATCCTCAATGATGGAAGAACGCAGCACATCAGTACAAAAGATAAGGCTGAAACATTCATAACAATCTTCAGTCAGAAGTCCTGAGTGGATATTAATCTCAGCCTCCTCAGTCGTCCCCGGTGTTACAGATACCAGACTTGAACCAATTTAATTCACTCCATGTCATCTCAAGAAATGATTGGAGACGCTGGATACTGCAAAGGCTACGGGCCTTGACAACATTCGGCCAATAGGACTGAAGACTTGTGCTCCAGAACTTGCCACTCCCTCAGCGAAGCTGTTCCAGTACAGCTACAACACAACAAAAATGTGGAAAATTGCCCAGGAATGTCTGGTACATAAAAAGCAGGGCAAATTCAACCCTGTCAATCGCCATCCCACCAGTCTACTCTCGATCAACGGTGCTATTAAGCAGTATCTGCTCAGTGATGCCCAGTTTGGGTTCTGCCATGGCCACTCAGCTCCTGACCTCATTACAGCCTTGGTTCAAACATGGACAAAATAACTTAATTCCAGAGGTGAGGTGAGAGTGACAGCGCTTGACATCAAGGCTGTACTTGACTAAGTGTGGCATCAAGGAGCTTGAGCAAAACTGGAATCAATGTATACCAGAGGCAAATTCTCCAGTGGTTGGAGCCATAGCTGACACATAGGAAGATGATTGTGGTTGTGAAAGTCAGTCATCTCAGCTCCAGGACATCTCTGCAGGAGTTCCTCAGGGTAGTGTCCTAGGCCCGACCATCTTCAGCTGCTTCATCAATGACCTTCCTTCCATCATAAGGTCAGAAGTGGGCATGTTCGCTGATGATGGCACAATGTTCAGCACTATTCTCAGATACTGAAGCAGTCTGTGTTCAAATGCAACAAGATCTGGACAATATCTAGGCTTGGGCTGCCAAGTGGTAAGTGACATTCGTGCTACACAAATGTGAGGCTATGACCATCACCAACAAGAGACAATCTTACGACCGCCCCCTAACACTCAATCACCACTGAATCCCCTGCTATCAACATCCTGAAGGTTATGATTGACCAGAAACTCAACTGAAATCGCCACATAAACACAACAGCTACAGGAACGGGTCAGAGGCTAGGAATGCTGTGGCAAGTAACTCACCTCCTGACTCCTCAAAGCCTGTCCATCATCTATAAGGAACAAGTCAGGAGTCTGATGGAATACTCCCCATGTGCCTGGATGGGTGCAGCTCCAAAACACTCGAGAAGTGTGACATCATTCTGGACAAAGCAGCCCGCTTGAATGGCACCACATCCACAAACATCCACTCCACCACCGACGCTCAGTAGCAGCAGTGTGTACTATCTACACTATTCTACACTGTAGAAATTCACCTTTAGATTCTCAGACAGCAGCTTCCAAACCCGCAACCGCTTCCATCTAGAAGGACGATGGCAGCAGATACATGGGAACACCACCAACTTCAAATTCCTCTCCAAGCCACTCACCATTCTGACTTGGAAATATATCACCCTTCCTTCACTGTCGCTGGGTCAAAATCCTGGAATTCCCTCCCTAATGGTATTGTGGGTCGACCCACAGCAGGAGGACTGCAGCAGTTCAAGAAAGCAGCTCACCACCACCTTCACAAGGGTAACTAGGAATGGGCAAGAAATGCGGGCCAGCCAGCGACTCCCACGTCCCACAAAACGAATTTAGGTTTAGTTCACTCCAATAATTCTTTATAGTTCTATGTATTTTGCATTCTTTTGAATGCATTACAAAACCATAAATAGAAAATTCTAACAATCATGTCAAACAAAAAAAAACTTGACAATGAATTTCCTTTTTAAAACATTACCATGGAATATGTAGTACCTCTAATAACATAGTCTGGGTCCCAAACAAATTCTTACAGATTCTTGCACATCATACTACATTGCTGAACAGATGTGGAATACTGTGTGTGTTTGTATGTGTGTATGTGTTATTTCTTTTATAAATTTGTTGATAATTGTTAATTACACCTGGCCATAATTAGAAACCAAGATGCTAGATATGATTAAGTTCTGACATTTACTCAACTTTTGATTTGATTTGATTTACCACTGTCACGTGTACCCAGATACAGTGAAAAATGTTGTCTTATGTGCTTTACAGGCAGATTGTACTATACAAGTGCATCAGGATAACAGAACAGAGTGCAGGATACAATGTTACAGCTGCCGAGACGGTACGGAGAGAGATCAATATTATCATTAAAGAAGACCATCTCAAAGTCTGACAACAGCGGGGAAGAAGCTGTTCTTGAATCTGTTTGTGCGTGTATTCAAACTTTTATAACTTATGATGAAAATTTGACCTCTCAAACTTTACTTTGTGCCTTCTATGATCAAAGATGTGGGGTGGGGGAAAACGAAGCTTTTAACAGGCTTCTGGAGAAAGTTGATGAATTTGCAAAGGCCATTCTAACATCATGGTCATGAATGGTACTTACCAACAGACTATAATAAACAATATACAGTCAGCAGAAGAAGTGTATTCTTTGGGTATTTTACATTCACTTGAAAGGTTTTGGTCTTAGACGTTAGCAATCAACTTGTTTGTTTGTACTATGATGTGGGACCTAAACTTGGTCCTTCTGTCTCAGAAGACGGGATACGACCAGCACCACAAGAGTCTTAATCAATAGAGTGTATGCTTGCAAAGGAGTAGATGAGTTTAAAACAAGGTTTGGATTTTGGAAGAAAGACAAAAATGCAATACTCAGCAGCATCTATGGAGAGAGAGAGCGAGAGAGATAACTCCTCGGGTCCATCACCCTTCATCACAAACGTATTAACTTTGTTTCTGTCTCCCACAGATACTGCCTGACCTGCAGACTCTCTCACCACCACCCAGTGTCTGTTTCCATTTCAGATTTTCAGCATCTGCAGATCCTGTTGAGCTTAGTGGACTCGTGAGACAGGATGCAGACAGCCGAGCTGATAGATTAAAGATTAGTAATTCACTTAGCAGTTTGTGAAAATCGATGCTCGCTTTAAAGTGGATGAGCAACAGCCCGCCGGAAACCTCGGAGCAGACTTCAGTCGGCCTTTCCACCCCGCATCCTGTGACAATGCCCCACGCTGATTGGTCAAGGGGACGGGAGACCGTGGGAAATCCCGGCCTCTGATAGGCAGATCGCGCTGTCAGTCATGAAGTGGGGCGTGATGGGGATGAGTGACGGCGCCGTGGGAAAACCGGCGTTTCTGTTGGAGCTAGAAGGAGACGTGGTGGGTGCCGGAAGCAGGCGATTAGCGGCGGAGAGTTTGGACGGATTGCCGTGTGTCCTCCTCCTCCTCTCTTATACCCCGGGACGGTTTGTCGCGCTCCTTTCCCCCACCCCGGGGCTCGAGCCGCTAACATGAAGCTGACGCTGGGCCGTGCCGTTGTCCTGGTGACTGTGGCCGGGCTCAGCATCTGGATGTTCCGCGCGTGGCTGAGCAGCAAGGAACACGTGTTCAACAGGGAAGACCTGAGCCGGCTGGCTCGGCAGTACTCAGGTATGTTCTTGCAGAGCACTGTCTGTCTGTGTGTAGATGCATATGCATATGCATGCGAGCAGACCCTTCCGTCTAACTCGTCCATGCTGATCAAGTTCCCCAAACTAAATTATTCCCACTTGGCCCACATTCCCCCGAAACCTTTCCTATTCACGCCCCTCCCCGAATGTCTTCTGAATGTTGTCACTGGATCTGCATCTGCCATTTCCTCTGGCTCGTCATTCTACGACTTGCCACTGCACCGAGTCCCACGTCCCATAGTTTGCATTTACTCTTCAAGGCTGTCCCCAAGGTCCGCTCCTATCAGTCAGATTTTCCACGTCAACAAAGCAGG